CTTTATAGCTGTGGAACCAAAGCGATGAAGTTTATGGTCTCTCACTGTCAGCAGGTTTATGGAAAATTTATAGTATATGTTCTTAGTTCTGAGTTTACCATTTTTTGTTTGAATACTTACTAAAACTAGTGCTGAAAAAAGCCCATTATAGGATTAGGAGTTTTGCTATGTTTAAAGATTCCTATAATTTGAATAGTTTCTGTGTAGTGTTTTTACTTTCATCTCCTTTTCCCTCAAACTGCTGTTTTATCTTGTTCAGAATCAAGAAGCTGTTTCTTCCTCCTTTTCTTTTCTTTTCTTTTTTTTTCTCTATGAACTGAACTTATTTTGTTAGCATTCCCTGACTGGCTTTCAGGCCTTTTTGTTAACAGAAAATTGCTGGTGGCACTGGAAATTCCTAAGCCTTCTTTTGGTTATTTAAATAAGTTAGAGTAATATTTTTTATAATTTCTATTATCCATCAGTTTCTTTTTTCTGTTTCTGAGTCCATTTTACTGGTGCCACATTATTTGTAATCAGTGGAAGGAGGCTACTTCTCCTCTCCTCTCCTCTCTTTTTTTTTTTTTTTTGTTTTTAAAAGTTCTGTTCCAGTTTTGAAGTGAAAATATATTCATGTTGTCTGTTATGGTAAGAATCCTGAATTTGATTCAGTACCCACTGGTTTGTAGCTGGTAAAGGTGTTGGACTGATGGTCCAGCTGAGCCAAACTGCACTATGTATGACTCTGCTAGTTTAATCTGATCACTCTAGTCATTCGTCTGTAGTTCCCCCCCCCCCCAAAAAAAAAAAAAAGAAAAAAGATGAAAATGTGAGAACTCGAAACAAACTGCTCATCAATGAATTGAGATGAGCAGAATTTGCCTTTAGAAACTTATCTAAATATTCTTCCGTTGTAAACGATGCTAATTTAACCACAGAGTCACAGAAATGTGATTCAGTTTTAATGTTGCTACATTTGGTATTTTATTAGTGTAATTTAGAGTAAAATCTTCACTGTGGAAAATCTGAGTTGGGCACTGGAACTGTGATGTGTCTAGAAAAGGAAAATAGAAAAGTTGATACTTTAAAAACGTGAACACAGGATTTAATCAGTCACTTCCATTCATTGAATCAATTAATTTCTAATTTCCATGAGATGGATGGTGTCTGCATCTTCACTGTTTCAGAAACTCAACTCTTGACTCTGTCTCACTAAAAATCACTGTGTATGAAGAAGCAGTTTCTGCTTTGACCTTCCTTGCCAACGTGTCTGTAGTGCTACTCAGTCACAATGGACTGTCCCCTCCTGTTTCTTCAGGATTCCATTAATTCCCATTCTCGCTTTCCTTCCTGTTTCTTCCCTATTTTTACATATTAACACATACTGTGTGTGCATCAATCTGTATGGATCAGAAGCAACATTAATTTTATTTGTATATTCCCAACTACAGAAATATAGCAAAACCCCAACCTTTACTGGATATATTTAGCAGATCTTTAGATTCTGTAGAACCAGTTTCCCTCTATGTTTTATGGGTGTCTGAGGAAGAATGGGATAGACGACTTTCTCCTGTAGTATTTGCTCAGTGACTCCAAAACAATGTTGGGCCTTCATTAAGGTGAGAGAAATACGTAGGGCAGCTTGGTTGCAGTTGAATACACATTAGTGGAGAAATTGCCAAATCTGAAAAGGTAGATTTCCCAATGACTAAGTATTTTTCGAATACTTCCACCTAACACTGGAAACCAAGATGCTGCAGCCAACACATGCTTTTATTTACTCTCTGTTGTTACTACATGTGAATTATTTATAAAAATGCACAATGAATGAGGCAAGCCCTTCTGTGTGAGATCTGCATATTTTTAAAGACATACATGAAGTGGGATTTAGCAAAACCAAGTTTTTACATAGACTTTGTGTCCACTGGTAAAAAGGACCAAATATTATTGCTATATCTTGTCCGTATTTCCATATTGTGCTCATAATATTTAAGACCTGACATCTAGTAGATCAGAGGGATTAAACTGGGTGGTAGAGTAAGTCCTGTCCTTTAAGCGCAAAGGCCAGGTTTTAGAAACTTAGACCTCATTTATTGGGAGGGTGAGCACAAAAGGAGATGCCTCTAAAACAGGGTGAATTTGCAACATGGGTTAAATTGGAGTAAGGAGGACAGTCATCACTGGGCAGCATGAGAAAAATAAGCCCTTCTGGTAATCTGTTGCACTTCCCAGTTTTTTATACCTAAAAATCCCACATATGTCATGCGGAATCAAAAATTGATTTAATGTGGTATACACAAATCAAAAGTCCACATTCTTCCTGGGATTTGGCTTGACTGTAACCCCCCACCTCACCCTTGCCCTTTCTTGCTCTCTCCTTCTTCTTCCACAGAAAAAGTGAGCCAAATGTTACAGGATGCTCTCACAGGGATTCCTAGCAGGTCCCTAAGATCTTGTTGGTGGCCCTCTTGTTTTGTCTTCCGAGATGTGCACCAGGCTGTGTGCTGCAGGAATACTGCAGCTCTCGATTGCTGAGCCCTTTTAGGGGGCAGGACCGTAACTTTCCACACTGGCTTGTGGAAAGCTGCTCATAGGGGTCCCTAGTTTAAATGTTATGGAGCAGAAGTGATGGTGCTTTTACTGAACCCTGCAGCGTGTTTTAATGCTGTTTGTACATGGTGGAAATTTTAAATATTTGTCTCCCTGAAAACACACAGCCCTCCCCAAAAAATTCATGAGGTTTTTGAAAACTGCACATAAGGACACTGAGGTTGCACAGAACGCACTCAGAAATCAAGTCTCTGTATGCACACTTAAATCTTCCACCTTCTGCATAGCTATTATGCTGAAGCATTTTATTGTATGTCAATATAATAATTCTAATGTAGCGCACAAATTTAAAGTTCATTTTGCAGTACACTGTGGAAGTGGGTACTTCTTACGGCAGGCAGATTCACATCCATTCTCGGATTATGCAGTTCAATATGAGATAATGCTTTTTTTTTTTTTTTCCTATGTATTACTGAAGCACAAAATGAAATCTGTAAGACTGACTGACCTTAAAACTCGTAACTGCCATTCACTTCAGTCTGTGTCGCCCAGCAGACTGGCTGCTGAGAGCGATGCTTGCTTGCTGTTTTGTGAGTCTCTGCAGTTGCACGTTCGCCCACTCTATGCAAACATGCACACACTCTCTTTTTTTCCTCTCACACCGTCTGGCATATTTTCAGAGTAACTCTTCGAAGACTTTCTGAACTGCTGGGTATGATTGTCTGATTATTATTATTTTATTTATTTTTTTTTTTTTTAAACTGGGAACATGTTTAGTCCAGTGTTATTTAAACAAGCTTATCTCTTTGATCAAAGTCTACAATCTGAAATTTGAACGGGGTAGGGAGGGTGGCTGGGTGGGTGAGGAAATCTATCAAGTACATATTTATGTGTGTGCTGCTGTCTTAGCTGTGTGCCTGTGGAGGGACAAATGTATGTTGTTTCAGAATAATATTGCAAATTTAACTAACTTTGGCCATTTTAGTAGAAGTTCTGAAAGCATAGTATTATTATTAAAATAAGACCATTTTTAGTAAACTTTTCTTGAAACTAGTAGTGACCTGCATATTCAGTTTTTCAGTTTCTCGGGTTTTTTGAAGGTTAAGCCGAAGAACTGTGGAGTTGTTTAAGTATAGAGTAGACTTTGCTAGTGTTCAAAGCACACTAACTGGAGCCCATATATTAATGCATTTAGGTCTGGCATTAACCTATTTCGCTGACTGAACCACAGACCACAGCAATAAAGCCAGGGAGCTTGAAACAGTTTCTGGAGGTTTTCATTTAGCTGGTTCACGAGAACTGGTTTGTGCAAAGTTAAAATTATATGGAATGAGAGTGCAAGATGAAGCATGCATGCCACACCTTTTCATTATGTTCCCTCTCTTCCCCCCCCCCCCC